AGCTAACGCTTCCTGTAGTATTTGAGCCAATTGATCTGGCATGATTACGAATGATTCTCTAACTCGCCCAACACTAGACGTGGTATCGTCCGACGCAACAGCAGAACAAGTATCTGACAGTTCCTCCTCTGAAGATAACCCCTCGTGCATTCTCTTGTAGTCTCGACGTCGGTTGGCTCTTCTTTGTAACCGCGACATTCTTTGAGATAGACCCCGCTCAACTCTCCCTTCCGGAGAGAAATCAGGGTCAGGGTTGACTAATAGTTGCTTTCCTCTGTTGGTCATGTTAATAGTGACCTCAAGGAATTCATCTTGCCGAATTGTAGGTTTCTTCTTGTTGAAGCGTCTCACTTTGGGTTTTGACGTTTCCGTAGACAGTCTTTGAAATACGGAGACTCTCGTTGAATTAGTTTTAGAGCAACCGCATTCTGTCAATACTGCTTTAATGAGCCTCTCGCAGGAGCAGTGAGACTCATCTTCTCAGACAATTCTTTTTCTTGAGTTATTATTTTGATAGTACAGCTCATCGTTATTGTGATTTGAGCAACCTATCTTTTGTTTTTTGAACCTTGTTAACATACACAGGACGACTAGTTGTCGCCTCTGGGCGATCCAAGATTAAATTCTTAAATCCACCCCCTTGCGGGCATAGAGTCTTCATTGGTCCTAAACGAGAGTGAATTGATATTTTCTCATTTCGGACTTGTTCAATTCTGACAGGAGGGTATTTACGACCCCCTGCATAAGAAACCATCAAAGGTTTATTTGCTGGATCCGGATGTTCTTTGATTGGTGTTTTGCCTCGATCATCAGCGGAAGGACCGAGGCGATCCGCCATTGTGATCTTGAATTTTGATAAGTCTGGACTAACCCAGGGTTTCACTGGTGATGCAGTAGACGGGCCCAAAACGGATGTTTGTGGCGTCTTCGGAATCCAAACTTTACGATTCTTTGGTGGCTTTTCAGACACCACTTCCCTCTTGATTCCTTGTGTTTGTTGACGAAGGGCGCGGGCACGGGTGGCCTTCACCTGATGCCTTTGTATACGTTCTTTAAGGGTTGAACGAGCCCTTTTGAGGATGGTCCATTCCTCCGTCGTAAGTTGTGCAGAAATATGGTTATTTTGCCGTTGAGGCAACTGAACCACTTTATGTTTTCTCGACTCTAGGTCCACATAGTAATGGACCCCATCGGTTTGTTGTAAGGCTTTAGCCAATTGTTGAGCACGGCGCTGGCACTGTCTCTGACGAGCCCTCTTCGTCAGCACCGTTGAGCCATTAATCAACGACTCCTTAATTGGTGCAGAGTCGTTTGGAGCAGGGATGTTGCAAGCATATTCCTCAGCAGCGATCGGGCAAGAATCTTCACCTGCGGTTTTCATCGACACTGCAGACTTGAAAGTTTTCTTGGAAGATGAAACCTTCCTATACTTACGAGGTGAGGAAGGTTTTGAAGATGAGGATGACAGATACTCCTCGAATTTCGCCTGATCGAACTCATATTCGATCTCTTCGTTAACCACAATCTTGATCTGTTACGACACTGCGGCCTTGGCAGCGAGGCCGCTGGCTCCCACTGTGGTCGCCAGTTTGTTTTCGTCAAAAGTTGTTTTCATTGATGATTCCATTAAAACTTAAATTGTTTACAGAAAATTACAATAAAAAATTGAGAAAATTACAACTCTCTTGGAAAATAACACAAAAATCGTTTATCGACTTTTGCTTTGTGGGACTTTGCCTGTGCCGGGAGTGCTTTGACTCGTGGACCGCCAAATCACACATCGTGAAGGGGGCTTAGTGATTCTTCCTTCGTTTATCGAAGTAAGAATTTGAAGTGAAGATCTTATCAAAGTAAGACGATCACTCTTCTTAAGATCAAGTCGAAGCTCGAATCTCAAGGAATCACACCAAGAACTGTTTTGTCTGCTCTCTCTGCTCTGAATTGCTCGATAAAATGCTCGATCCTCGTCAGTAATGACCCTAGGGGGGTATTTATAGCCTCTGGGATATAACTAAAAAAACTCAACAAACGACAAAATTAGGCTGGCGAGACAGTGTTTACTGTCTCGGCGGCCGAGACAGTGAGACAGTTTTTGCTGTCTCGGCCTGCGAGACAGTAAATACTGTCTCGGAAAAAACAACTGTCTGGCAGTTTTTGTTGTAACTGCCTTCCCACGTTTTAAACTCCGATATTTTGGCAGTTATTTACGTGATTTTCGCCCATGATGTTTTCCACGTTCCTTGGTAGTTAATGGACACGTGTGTGGCAGTTATTTAGGTGTTTTTTGACCATTTCAAAGCTGTCTCGCTGGCGAGACAGTAAACACTGTCTCCCTGCGGGACAGTAAACACTATCTCGCTGCGAGACAGTAAACACTGTCTCGCTGCGAGACAGTAACACACTGTCTCGCTGGCGAGACAATAAATACTGTCTTGATTTTTCTAAAACAGTATGCGATCAACTCTTGTGATTTTTTGAGTGATCTTCTCTATGTTTGGATATCTATTAGCATTTTTTGACGCCTACATCCATAAGCTCTACTATTCATCTTCTTCCAAACCTTATCCTCCATATCAGCGGGTTTTTCTTGTAACTCAAGAGTCACCTCCAAATTCTATGCATCCAAGGCGTCCATCACCTGACACATCCACAATCCGAAATTAATCTTACCGTCGAACTTTGGAACATCAATCTTTGTGTTATTGATACTCAGATTCCGTATCGCCTTCGTAAGAGACGAACTTGATGTGCTTGCTTCTCACGTGTTGTCGATCTAACTCTTCAGATAGGAATTCTTCAGTGAATCATTCGAACAAGCCTGAAGCTCTGATACCAATTGTTGTGCGTGGTGGAAGCCTCAAAGCGACACGAATAATCCAAGAAATAAATCACAACTAATAAGCCAAACACAATACCACAGCAAGACAACGAGTTTAACGTGGTTCGACAAGTTGCCAACGTCCACGAGGCAAGGAGAGGGGAGTTCTTACTATTAGAAATCAAGAGAATACAAATAGAGTTACAAATCTTACCGATCAAACCCTAAAATAAAGCTCTAGATCTCTCACAAATCTCCCACAATTGGATGCAACAATCCTATCCCAAAGATTGCTAAAAAACGTCCTTACTTAACCTTAACTAATCAGGATTAGAGTTATATACTAACTCAAAATAAAACGGGTTAAAATCCCAAAGCCCAGCCCAAACTCATCTGCGGTCGACCGCGACGGTAGACCGTGACGGTCGACCGAACACCCCCGACAGAGAATAAATGGCTACAGGAAAACTCACGGTCGACCACGACGGTTGACTGAACCAAACGACCTACAGTGTCCATATGGTCGACTGCCTTCAGCTCCCAGCTCTTCCTGACCTTTGTGCACGTTCGCGGTCGACCGCCGCGCGACCGCCCCCCCCCCCGCCAGTCTGCCTGACAATTTTTTTGGCTGGTTCTTCGTCGCGTTCGCCATTTCTTCATGATTGTGATATATTTTAATTCTAACACTCACCATATCCCCATGTATTGCACACGTTTCTAATTTGCATTCAAGGAAAGAATCGTAACCACCCATTAGATAATCTATAGTTGTGCTTAAGTAGCGGTGGTCCCTCAACTTTTTTTTGGTAGCAAAGAGGATCAGAATCCGAAAGATATTCGTCAATTACCCAGAAAAAAAGGCAATGGCTTTGGGCATCCATTAACAAATTCAATGATGTAAAAACTAAGTTTAATTGTACTTAAATACATTATAGTTTTCCCTACTTTGTACTAATATACCCTTACTAGCTAGTTTTGGCAGCATTTGTACACACTAAAGTTTTTAAACCTTTCACTAATATGCCCTCACTTGTTTCTGACAACACTGGTATTTCCTAAAGCTTTAAAAATATGCACTTAAATACCCTAGAGTTTTTAAAACTTGCACTTAAATGCCCACATGTATGCAAACTTAAGGGTATATATATGCAAATTTTAAACATTTAGCATATTTAAATGCTAGTTTTAAAAACTTGGGTACTTAATGACAAATTTTAAAAATTTTAAGATATATCAGTGACGCTAGAAATAAGTAAGGGCTAGAAATAAGTAAGGGTATATAAGTGAAAGTTTTAATAACATTATACAATAAGTGCTGCGAAAAAACATGTGAGGACACACTGTGAGGACACACTAGTGCAACTTAGGGCGAAGTATATAGGCTATTTAAGTGACTTTCAAAATATGTAAACTTCGACAAATTAAGTATTGAGAAAGGAGTTATTTAGATATTAGTCCTTCAAATATTCAATAATTACATCTTAGTCCCTCGATCCTTGAAATTGCTTACTAGTCCTTCAAATTCCGTAAGACCTTACAATTTGATCCTTCAACGACCGAAATACCTCTCATTTATGTTTTCTCTTATAAAGCCCATATTATTTAAAAGAAAAAAGGTAATTTGTATTGTGGCACCTTACACATTCTTTTCAGTTTGTTTAATATCTAAAAGTTTTTTTTTGACAATTCTTACACTTCCCTGTAACAAAGTTTGTACCTTTTTTAATCTTCGATGCCCCAAACTTGGGTATCAAAGTGTAAAATGGGTAAACTTCGAGGTATCAAGTTAAAAAATATGAAAAAACTTTGGGAGCATATGAAATTTATGTAAAGTTTGGCATCAAAGCGTCAGAAAAAAAAACTTTATGGATATCAAAGTTAAACAATGTGTAAAGTTCAGGGTATCAAACTGTCAAGAAACTCTAGAGCATCAAAGTTAAAAATGTGTATACTTTGGAATTCCGAATTACAAACAACCCTTTTAAAAACCATTGATTCGGGGGCAATCTAATCTTTGAGGGGCTAAATTGCAAGAAACCATAAGATCTGGAGGGCTGCCGAGAATCACCGATTATCTGAGGGGGGCTAATAAGGCAAAAGATGTGAGGGGACAAATATCCCTAATAACCCAGGAAAGCTAGTGCTTTTTATGCGGGGCCCATCAAAATGATTCGGAAAACTCATACGAACATGTGCCTCAAAAGCCGCTCCACCTGTCTCGCTCCGCCCGCTCCGCCGTAGAATCCACCACCCCCCAAACCCACCCAAATTCCCAAATCAAAAAAACTCAAACCAAAAAAGGAAAGAAGCCGAGTGAGTGAGATACTCGCCCACGCCTCTCCTCACTCTCGAAGAGGGAAAAAAAAATGGCCGCTTACAGAGCAGAGGACGACTATGACTACCTCTTCAAGGTCGTCCTCATCGGCGACTCTGGCGTCGGCAAGTCGAACCTCCTCTCGAGGTTCACCAGGAACGAGTTCAGCCTCGAGTCCAAGTCCACTATTGGGGTCGAGTTCGCTACGAGGAGCTTGAATGTTGATGGGAAAGTGATCAAGGCTCAGATTTGGGACACTGCAGGACAAGAAAGGTAGCTTTTTTTTTTTGATTCTGAGGAATACCCATGTTTTTGGTTTTGTTTTTTTCCCCATCTGGGTCTAGTTTTGATTTGAGAGGTAGGTGGAGTGAATTGAGGAGTTTTAGCAGCTTAAGATCTGATTTTGTTTTGAAAATTTGAAATTTCTGGCACCGCAGGGCAAGAAAGGTGTTTATAATGATTTTTAAGGGGCGCCCATGTTCGTTTTGTGTTCTTATTATATGGGTTTAATTTGTTTTAGCTGCATTAGTATGGCTTTGGAGATGCGTTTTCGCTTTTAGGGGGTAGATAGGGTGAATTGAGGAGTTTGAGTAGCCTAGGATCTGGATTGTTTTGAATTTTGTTGCAGATTATTAGGTGAAGTTGTAGAATTGTAGATCTGAGTGTCCGAGAATGGTATTGGAGTTAGTTAAGCTCAAATCCAGCCTTGCTATTTTACTTATTAAAAAAAAAGTTTTGATTTTTACGCTTTATCATGTGCTTAGTTGGCTCATGAAAATTTGAAATGGTGGGGGTAGCTTTTGCTGTAGTTAGAGTATGTAGACGGCACTTTGCAGGATGAAAATATTTCATCTGAATATCCTGAAAAAAGTTTTTTTTGGGAAAAGCTAAAATGAATTTGAGGACCTTTCCTGTACACTTCAAGACGAGTTAAACAGTTTTCTTTTTGAGAATAAGCATGAACATGAGATTTTCATCAGAAAGAATAACTATATTTATATAGATGAAAATATCTGGAAATAGATAGATGAAAGTAGACTTAAAACCTGCATGATCGTTCTACCTTTGTTGCAAAGGTAGGTAATCAAGCCACAACTCGACTGAACATGATGTGCTTCTCCTCTTCTTGATATCTTCTTAATTCCGCTCTTTGAGTTGAAAACACGGTCACTTGGAATTTTTTTTTTGGGGTGGGGTGGGGTCGAGGGGTTAGGGGTGTTCGTATGGTCCAATTGATTAGAAATACCGACTTAGAAGGCAAATTAGCATCCACCCAGTGAACTCTTCTTTGAAACCTTAGCGTGAATTTGTCCTTTGAAAACTTCCATGTTGCAATATCTGACAAGTCATTGCTATTTAAGTGACGAAGGAGATTTAGAAAAGATTCGAGTTATGTTCGTGTAATGAAATTTCTCGAAATAGGGAGCGCACATCCTCATTCCATTTAAATGAATGCATGCATTCCGTTCCATCTAAAATCTAAATGACTGCTTTCGAAATTGAGTGCAGTTAAGAGATCAATATTAAAGTCAAATAGCTGCAGGTAAAGGTGTTGTAGTGTATCATTCTAAGCTCAAGTCTGATATCACAGCGTGGTCTGACCATGTCCAACTTGAAAATAGATACTCGATGAGGATGCTGAAGAAGATATGAGAACACTACACTAAAAAAATGTGAAGCATAGTCATTAATAGAATATGCAAGATGTAAAGATCTTATCTAAAGTTAAAAAGTTGGTTTTCACAAGAAGCATCCAAGGGGTATTGTGAAAGCACCCTAATACCACTAGGATAGAACCCTAGAGGGGGGTGAATAGGGTTTATGCTAATCTAATCCGATTTATGTCAATTTAAAACTCACTAACAAATATGATATGCAACAAGATATATATGCAAGGATATACAAACTAACACAAGGGTGAAACAAGATATAAACAATATAGTGGATGAAATAAACAATGAGAGAATGGCAATAAAGATGAACACAAATATAAGTGCGCCAAGCAAACTCAAACACAAGATATGATCACGGAGTTCGGTCCTCACGACCTACGTCTCCGCTCCTCACACTCAGCTTTTTAGTTCACCGAAAACTTTACAATCACTCATAATGTAACTACACTAACTACCACCTTAAGTGTTGGTCTCTAGCCCGTGTCTCCCTCAAGTGTTAGGAATTACAACTTCTTTCTAGGCATTACCACCTACCGCATTCCTCTTGGGACGAACTCGTCTCTCACCACACACTCCTCTTAGTGTACTAGTATAATACAAAGTGAATCTCATAATAATAACTCAATACAATAAATGATTGTTCTCTACTATGGATAAAAACACAATGAAAGCTCACACTCTAAATCACACAATCCCCACAACCCATACTATGTATGAAAATACAATAAGCTCAATGGTTGTGTGTGTAAACAAAGAGTAAAACAATTATAAACTTAATATAAAATCTAGCTTATGAAAATTAAGATAAAAAATAATAAATAGTTAGAATTGAGTTTAAGAAAACTTCTCTATGATGACAAGAGAGAGGGAGAAGAGTGAATGCTCAAATACCAAAGGATGACTCCACTTGCTCTTGTAAAAGTTTCTTCACAAACAAAACTCTTAAACAAACTTAAACCCCTTAAACAAAATTTGTAAACTCTTTTAAAACTTTTCTCTTCATATTTTATGAACTGAGGAATGTTGGAGTATTTATAGGAAACCCAAAAGCCAAGAAGAAACTAACAAAACCCAGCAAAAAGATAAAAACAAAAAAACTAAAAAAAACTAACCGTTGGGCCATCGGTCGACTGATCAGTCGACTGATGAGCTGACATTAGAGTCAGCATCCAGCTCGTCGGTCAACTGATGACTTGATCGGTCGACTGATGACCTCATCAGTCGGCTGGTTAGTCGACTAAAACAAAGCAAAAACTTTTTGTTATTCCAGACGATTTCTTCAGTCGACTGAACATATTCATCAGTCGACTGATAACACTGTATCAGTCTGACTGAAACAGAAAATCTGATTTTTGAAGTGCCTTTTAAAAATAGCAAATAAATTCTAAAAAATATAAAACTTTGGGAAATGTTTATAAACATGTTAATGAACATGTTACAAAAAGAATTTTTAAAATTGCACTTCACATTTGTGAAAACTCATCATTTTTTAAAACTAGTCCAAAACATGAAAATACGAAACACATTTTTTTGATATTTTTGCTAAACCATGTTTTGAAACTCTATAAACTGATTTTATAGACTTGATAAAAGATACAAACTATTATTGTTAAGTCTATAAACCATGTAAATAAAAAACACAATATTTTTCCAAATCCAATAGAATATGAAACACATAAAAGTGTATATGAAGATATATATTGTTTCATATCTATATAGCTAAACCAAAACATATATGTATGTATATGTATGTATGTATGTATATGTATATATATATATATACAAAACCAAAACGTGTATGTGTGTATATGATTGAGCTTAAGGTACCAACACACATAATATAAACTCCTAAACTAATTACCCAAGCTTGATGAAGGTCTTCAATGAGCACGACTTGGTAAACTTGCGGATGAAGCTTGAACTGAATATTTAACTTGAATTGCATGGCTTCACTCCACTATTCCGCCAACCTCCATTGGATATGATCGTTAAAGCTCGATTCCATTCATCCTCCAACATGTTGTTTGTCTAGAATAGATACAAAACACAAACACTAGACAAACAACATTAGATGTAAATTGTTTGTAAATCATCATCAAAACAAAAGGACCCAACATATTGCTCTTCGTAAATAATCTTCACAACCATTTAGCAATTAAGACTAAATTGAATGCTCTTAAAATAGATCCAATGCACCACTATAGTTTGGGAAAACTCACTTTTAAGTTACCAAAAAAAGGATCTCTTTGCCTCTTCTGTGACAATCCGAAAGAAGGATTGATGGATTCGATCAGTGGTTTGTATAATCCATCCTAGTAGATAGTAGAAGGACATATAATAGAGTGGACGGAGTTAATGAGAATGATTCTATTACCTTGAGAGATGTAGGCAATATAGTGTAGTTAAAGTTAACAAGATACCTTGTGTATACTTAAAGTGAATCAAACAGAAGAGTACACCAAATACGAATGGGCGAGCAAGCATCAATGAGCATTTGTGGAGCTCAAGTCTCAAGCAATGTTCATACAAGCTATCCTATACTGTTCTATTTGGAGCAAGAGAACAAACATTGGTTTGATGGAATACATCCAAATTTATTGGCTCATCAATTGGGCCTTAAGATCTCTAAAGAAAAGGCGGGTGATCTGAAAGCTGGGATATAATTACTAACCATAGTGTTTTACTTCATCGCATATGCTTATGTCTAACAAGCAAGCAACAATATAAGATAAGCCAACACTAATGCACCCAAAATAGAAGAGCATTGATTTATAACATAATTTCTCACCATTTGATTATTATGAAAAAAAAAAAAATGAACCAGACATCAACGCAGCCTCGCTAAAAATGCACCTAAATAGAAGAGCTATTCCAAGAAGCAAGACTTTGATCAAACCGACCAATAAAAAAGTTACTAAATGGATCTATGAGAGATGCAACTTTTAATCAAGGCGCCAAGGTAGAGGATATAGAGTGAGTTCATGTTACAATTTAAAATAGATGTCGTCATGTCATCAATATCTACTTTTGTTGAGGTTGGGCCGGAAGGAGTTGTGGAAGTTGATTGCAAGCCGAAGATTGATTCAAAGGTATAAATATGTCCTCGGGGTTAATGAGATCGGATGAACTAGCTCATAACCAGCTTTACACTCGTTCATTGTCTTAAAGGTCTAAAGCTAGGTGATCCTCTATCTCCATAACTCTTCATCCTCGGGTCCAATGTTCTCATGAGAATTTCCTTAAGAGTGTCAGTGGTTGTCTCATTCAAAGAGTTGATAACTGCCCATGTCATTATGATTTTGCAAACTTGCATTTTGTTGATGTATTCCCGTTGCTCCCGAGAGATAGGTGATCTTTCAACAATCCCGAAGGACTTCTCTATGCCTTTGAATATATCTCTAGCTTGAATGTGAACTTTTATAAATCCTTTGTCTACAACCTCAACAAAGAAGAATATCTTGATGAGATGGCTACATTTATGTTAAATTGTTGAGCGGGCTTATTCTCTATCATATTTTGGCCTCCCAAGTAAAACTATATCTCATTAGATACTATTGACCATCTCTCATTGATTGGGTTGATCAAAGAATTACCACTTGG